ACCAAATAAAATAGAAAAATGGCTTTAGCATGATCGGATATAGAGTGATATAGTTGAAGAAGAAACATGGGATGACGATTTCCTTCCCTGTGTTTTAACTGAGGTTGTTTTATCCTTAAGACAAAATGCCTAAATACAAGTTGAGCAGTGCAGCTATGCAATTTAGTGCAGCTTCAGTGCATGCCCAGATCTCCACTTTGGGGCAACTAAATAGCCTCTGCATAGATTTATGGTTTTAAACAATCCACAACTTGCCGCCATAGCAGAAATCAGTACACGGCTGAGGGAACAACCACGCATTGGTAAAGATATCTTCATGAAAGACATAAAATCTGGATGGAGTTAAACACAGTCAAGAAAACCTGTTAAAGTCTGCAAAAGGTTTGAGTCTGGAACTAAGGACTAAGACTTAGACTTGTACGCAGAGTGTATGCAAAATGAAATTTGCTTATACAGCTTTCAGACAGTGACTGAGCAGCAGCTTAGCAGTGAAAATGAACATTTTCATTCATAAAGTGCAGCAGTGATCAAATGTAAACAGTGGGGGAGAAACATGAGGCAAAAAAGCAGTTCAGAGCAGTGCAAAAATAAATAAATGTATATGGTGCAAAAATGCAGGAGAAAACATTTGAGTTTAGTTCTTATTAGGTCTGCTGTTATCAGTGATACAGACTCGATTTGCAACTGGATGTAGAGTTTTTTTTTTTTACAGTTTAGCTGTCTTTTGGCAGCGGGGAAAAAGCTGTTACAGAACCTGCATGGAGTGCTGTGAAGCAAGGAAACAAACAATTCAGATTTAGTCAAAGTTAAAATGGAATACTTTAGCTTAAACCAGCAGTTAGAATGGCCTAATCAAAGATTAAATCTTAATTTAGGAATCTGTTACAAGGCTTGAAAGGTGGTGTTAACAGACTCTCCATCCAGTCAGTGAGAGTGAGCCTTTTTTTTTTCCAAAAACAAATGAGTAAAAGTCTATAAATGTGCAAAGATGATACCTATATGCATACAGAATGTGCAACTATTAAACCAGAACAATGCTGTTTTAAATTAGTGATTTAGGAAGGCTGAATACTTCAAAACTGTGGAGTATTTTGTGTTTATTTAGCCCGCTAAAACTCAAAGAAGATTAATTAAAGCAAAGCTGAAACCATTAATCTGATTGATTATTGAAATAATCTAAATAAATAATTTAATTCAATAATTAATTAATCTCTAAGTGGAGTAAACAGACTTAAATGATTTAAAATCAAACAATTCAGAGCAGAAGTTAAACAAAAATGTACAAAAAAAGAAATCTATTTCCTGTATAAGATAAAATTCCTTCTTTGTCAGTAAATATACTCCTAATGTTATCCATATAAAAGTATTCATTGATTGATTAAAAGAAGACTTACTGATCGATTTTTACCCTTTGGTTGTTACGTTCAAATCGGGAAGGTTCTAGAGGCATTGCTACTGTTGTCAATAATAATCAGGAAGGGAACTAACACTGTGGAGGGAAAGATGTCACAAGAAAGAACTTAGGTGAAATCGACATGGAGCAGATGGTAAATGAATGAGAAGTAGTGACACGACAAAAAATAGGCCAAGCTCTGTAGGGCAGGAAGGGAACGATTGACATCAATAGAAAAAAACAGAAATCAGCAGAATGGGAAGGTGCTGAGAGGAACACGGAGCTGAAGGGAGAACCGTGAATATTTAACTCTGTTTAACTTTCCATCTGTGCCGTCGGCCACTTCCTCTCTCAGAGGCCTTCTGTTTGCCTTAAAGTAACTGAACACAGCATACTGCATGCCTTCATTGATATATCTATATCTTTATACCCCAGAAATACATTCACGTTTGGTTTCTCATCAGAAATGTGTTTAAAGGTCTTATATATGTATTGAAAAATAACAGCGTTAGATCAAATGGATGATAATGAAGACACGATGCCGGTAGTACATAACAGAGATGGGAAGTAACGAAGTACAAACACTTCGTTACTGTACTCAAGTAGATTTTTCTGATATTTTTACTTTACTTTACTACTTATTTTTATGGCGACTTTTTACTTCTACTCCTTACATTTTTACATAAATATCTGTACTTTCTACTCCTTACATTTTAAAAAATTGGCCCGTTACTTTAGTTTTGAATCATTTCAATGGAGTTACCGTTATTATTTTTCACATCATCAATACCAAATTCAATCTAATTGGACAGGAATCTACATTGGATTTGACGCACCACTACAAGATGAATCGACAGATTCGGCGGTATTCATTGGCGGCAAATCATTGCAGCTTGGTGGCGGTGGCGTTAGCATAGTAGTATAGACGACGAGATGATTGAAAATGAACACAACGGAGATCTAGTCCTATTGGCAGACATCCATTTAAAATGTAGGCAACGGCATGAAAAAAGTGGTTTCTACTTTTACTTTTATACTTTAAGTAAATTTACAAGCCTGTACTTTGTTACTTTTACTTGAGTAAAGAAGTTTAATCAGTACTTCCACTTTTACCAGAGTATTTTTTTAACACAAGTATCTGTACTTTTACTCAAGTACGGAAAGTGAGTAGTTTTGCCATCTCTGGTACATAAACAACACCCAGGGGAAGATGTCATGGTGTTATGAGCTTCTCAGTGGTTCACTATGAACAACTGAAGCGCATGCTACTACCACTGCTTCAGTTTTTGACATCATGAAAAATTTGAAAGAAATTAGCCAAGAAATCAGGAATTGATTGAACTCCATTCAGGCTGGATCATGCTTAGGTGCAGTTTCCATATATGAGATGTTTATCTGCTCTGATAATTAAACTCAGTCATACTGTATATACAACAAATTTAAGAAATTTGTATTTCTCCTGCTCATTTGTTCCACTATTTAGCAAACAAAAATATATATATATATATATATATATATAATCCCAACTGACCTTAAACAGGATAAACTCATTGTAATTTAGTGTTATAAAGTGAACAATTCAGTTCTGCTCCATTTATACAGTGTAAATAAATGTTTTGGTTACAGCTGTGTATGTAACACATGGACCAATGTTGAAACCTTAAAAAGACCAAACGGGACATTTTTTCAGGATTTACACCCAACTATTCTGCAAAGATACCATAAATGACAACCAATAGGGATCTGGCTGTTATTTTTTTTTGTATAATCCAAAGCCAGGATTTATTGTTGAACAGATGTAACCATCATTCAGGGTTGTACATGAGGACTTCAACTTTGCATCTATATAAGTGTGAACCTGAAATGCTTAACATCGCTTTACCTGGTGATCAACACACCTTGTCTTCAGTAACTGCTTTATTCTCTCGTAACTACCTGATAAATATTTCAATCAAATTAAAAATAAATCACATGTGGGCACTGATTACAAATGTACCATCCATTTATGTTGTGAAGGGGATTTTCATTGTGTGACAAGCAGGTTACACCATAATCCCGCACTCATTAGTAGTGACAATTCAGAGACCTAACTAACATTAGGGCTTAAAAAATTTTTATCGTGATTAATCGATATTCAAATAATCTTCAACTATTTTCCTAATTGAATAAATCTTTAACTTGAGTATAGAGACTCTAACACGTCTTTAGCTTAAAGGGCAACCCACTCAAATGAGATTATTTGACCAAAATTGTAAAAAAAAAAAAAATATATATATAATTATATTTTGCATTCAAAATAAAAAACTATTTCTGTCTATTAACATACTTTATCCAGAAGCTATAAAAGGGTACAGATTAAACTTCACTTGTTTTAAACTCTTTGTTTTATTTTTCCTCTTTTCATGTCCTCTCTGCTGTCTCTATCTCTTTCTCTCTCCCCTTAGTTCTTATTGCTTTCAGTAAAGTTTCATATACAAGTATCGAGCAGAACATTATGGCAACAGTCATGAAGGTCTGCTTGTGAATGCAAAGCTGTTGGGATATGATCTAGCTTTGGACCATCTGTTCTCAGAGCCATATTGGGAAAACAGGACACAAAAAAATAAATAAAATAAATGCTGTGTAAAATCGTCTTTTTAGGGACCTTTTGCCATCCGATTACAAACCAATTAATCAAAAAAGAACACATTAATCGATTAACATAATTGTTATTTACAACCATACCTATAGTAACATTTTTTTTATTGTTTGAGGATGACATAACCTGAGAGAATTCTCTCATCTTTTTTCTTGAATTACTTTTACTGTATGGACATACCAAGAACATCAAAACTATGAGGCAGATTTATACAGAATTCTCTAGCAAACAAAAGTACGGAAGAGGATTAGGGCCACTGGCAAAAAAAAAAAAGTTAACTGATTTTTTTAATTTTATTTCAGTATAGTATGGGAAAAAAGTCAGAATTCTGACTTTAATGTCAGAATTCTGACTTTAATGTCAGAATTCTGACTTTAATCTCAGAATTCTGACTTTTTTCTCAGAATTCTGTCTTTAATCTCAGAATTCTGACTTTTTTCTCAGAATTCTGACTTTAATCTCAGAATTCTGACTTCTTTCCCATGTTAAACTGAAATAAAATTTAAAAATCAGTTTACTTTTTTTTTTTTCTGTGGCCCTAATCCTCTTCCGTAGAATACTGAGGGGGGAAAAAATCAAACTTCTGAGATCAAATACAAAATTCTGAGATTTAAGTCAGAATTCTGATTTTTTTTTTCTCATATTATACCCAAAAAAAAATCAGTAAACTTCCCGTGGTTTATTTTAGAAAATGGAAAGTTTCTGATACATGTGAGAAAGTTTTTTCTTTTATATCTTCATGAAGTTGTTACCTGGATTAATATCCCAACAATGTTGAATTCAATTTAATTTAGTTTATTTATAGCTCCAATTCACAACATTTACAACTTTACAGAGATTCCCAGATCTTTCAAACCTTTTTAAATAGTTTCTCAATGTAAGGACCTGCAATAAAATGTTAACTTTTTATTTAAAGAAAAATTTTCTCATGACATTTGAACTGATATTCCTTTGTAATGTATTCCACAGGCTGCGACTGGTCCCACCCCAAAATGACATCACCCAAAACCAAAGCAAAGAAGAAACCACCCAAAGACAGCATAACTCTGCTGCCATGTTTTTATTTTGTGGAGGTATGGATAAATGAAGAATATTAAAGACCTATTGTGAAATATATACATTTTAAAGGTTGTGTGCTGTATGCGTATTTATGATGCTTCACATACAGTTGTAATAGGAGTTAACAGGAGTTGAATTTAAATATTAGATAACTCTTAAAAATAAAAACATTTATGGCTTATCACTCTTTGCTTTGCCCTTGACTTTGTTTTATGCGTTCGGAATAGATATGTTGTCCTGTAATTCCTATGCAGCTCCCCATTGTCCTGTCCTCCTTGGTGTCCCTGTACTTCCTGGAGTTGACAGATGTCCTTTCCCCGGCGATGGTGGGCTTCCGTTGCTATGACCGCGACCTCTCCATGCCCTACGTCGAGACTGGAGATGAGCTCATCCCTCTGTTGATGCTGCTGAGTTTGGCGTTCGCTGGTCCAGCAGCTTCTGTAAGTCAGTGACGTGCGGTGAGGTTCATAGCTGGTGAGGCACTGACGTCATCAGAATCAGATTTGCAAATAGATGCATAGATTGACAGCAGTTTACAGGTTATGTTTCACTTCTGCATCCTTACACATACAAACTGTAGCTCACAAAACACACATTTCCTTAAAAAACAAAACAAAATAAATGTTATTACTGTCTTACCTTTACTTATAAATGAATAGAAGTCCTCCTTATCTTCCTTCAGTTTTAAAAGTCTCTCTGTCTCAATGGAGATCACTGCCAGGGAAGAAAGCCTTCCTTGATCCGTCCTGTTCCTGCCTTATGTTTTCAGTCTCTTGAGCACCCCCTGCCATGAGGCAAGAGAACTGCCTGCCTCACCTCGAACTTGTTCTCTGCCGTTTATAATCGCTCATTACACGAAACACGTTACACAAACACAGTTGGTGACAAAAAGCTCTGTACATTATATACATAAGCCAAATTATTAGAAATAAGTTCACATATTACATTTGTTTAAACCATTTTATTGACGCCGTACAGCAACATGCTCTCTCCGCTTTGCAGCCAGCGCAGAGCCAGGGGTTGCGCAATCCAAGGTGAGGCAGAGCTCGCTGCTGCCTCACCGGCATCGCTTCCACGCATTTGAATGGGAAAATAAGAAAATTCAGCGATTTTGAACAAATAAAAATCGAAATTGGTGAAGCTAAATGAAAAATGAATATTTTTTAGTACAAACCACCGGATGAATATAACAATTTAAATTACTTTATGATTATATATTTTCTTTCTTTCCATGATGGCTGGTGAGGCACTGCCTCACCTGCCTCCCCTGACCGCACGTCACTGCTGTAAGTCCATGTTAAGATTTATAAGACAAATAATGCTTTGTGTCATATTTGTGAATACATCTGCACTTTATATAATTTTGGCTTTAATTGTCCCTTTGTGCACCAGTTCACTGTATGTTAAGCCACGCTCCTCTTTTTACATGCATGACATATAACTTAAAATTCATTATAACTTATAGTCTTTTTTTACATGCATCTATCAATAAACCGATATTCTGCTTTTACTCCAGTGTTCCTTTGAATTGCAACTGTGTTGGCAAACCAGTCATCTAAATCAAGCTGATGTGCTTATTAAAAGATATTACTAAAAGATATGTGCTCAAATGACATTTAATCAATTTCTTCTTTAGACGTGTTGCTTAATTGAAAACAAACCTCCAACACATGTCAAAGCAACATCGTATTGTTATAGAGGTTCAGTGACCTTATGCAAATTCCAGTAAAAGAAAGAGTAATAAATAAATAAGTTACATAAATAAGAAAATATAAATGTATAGAAAATGTATTCTACCCTGGCTAATGGGGGATCAATGTTTAGATTGATAAATAAACACCTAGATTTCCCATCCACATTATCATTCATTCCATGCCCGCCAAATCGATAGACACAGACACACACAACAGTAATCCATCAGCAGGAAAGAAACAAACAGAACTCATTTATCACTCTGATTGGAAGTGATCGCTGTTCAATAGGACCTTGCTTCTGCTTTCACCCCACTGTACCTTCCAACAGTCGATCAAAATCACCAACTGACATAAGTACCACTTTCACTCCTTTGCCTTAATTTGATTCTGGCCTTGCTATCTTGTTCTTTGGGTGAAATTTATCCTGAGACGGTTAAAAACACCTATATTACAACTTCTCTTCCCTTTCTCTCCTTTGCTGGCTGTAGATTATGTTGGGGGAAGCGGTGATGTACTGCATGCAGTCCAAACTGAAGACCTGTCCCAAGTCAGAGGGGAGCATAAACGCTGGAGGATGCAGCTTTAACTCCTTCCTGCGCCGGACCGTGCGCTTTGTTGGTACATCCAGCCACCAGGCTCATTTATAGGTTCAAAAAACATTGGCTGCTCAAGGTTTGATTTATTTGGAATATTGTCTCATACACACAGGTCAGAATTGTGCAAACAGGCTGAAACATTTACAAAAGCTTCTGTTAATGCTTATTGGGATCAGAAAGCCTTTTCAAAAAGGGTAGTTTGATTTTATCAATTCCAGAATCACAGTTCATGTAAGTTTGGAACTTTGTCCTGTCAGACCATTCAATTACTACACATGTGTAAAGCAAGTAACTGATTGAAATTAAGTTTAATCATTCGGTGGTATATTTTTTATCCACTTTGAACAATACACAAATGCCACATTCAGCAAAGCAGACCCTCAGCATAATACTCCCACCATCATGCTTAAAAACCATTTTAGAATTTATTGGAAGTATTGCTTTGACCTCTCAAAACATTTTTTTGAGGCAAAATAACAACAAATAAATATGTAAAAAAAAAAACATTTAATCGGATCATAACATTAACTCTCTAATTTCAGCTGACTTTAAGAATGTCCATTACTGAGCAGTTTTTTTATTTTTTTTTATTTTTTTATGTATTCAAAGTCACTTGATTTTGGACAGGGACCCTTGTCTTCCAGTATCTATCAGATAAATACTGGCTGGTTGCTTCAAGGTTACTCCTGACATCTTAATTTATTTGTATTTATCTGAGTGTGAATACTTAGATCATATGGTTGATGACGGGATAGAGTAGGATGCTCTGGGTTGTCATGTGGTGGACTGGTTAGAGTGGGCATCCCTTGAACAGAGGCTTTAATGCGGGCTTTCCAGCCTGGAAAACTTTTAAAATTGCCCTTCCCTCATAGCTATCCCACTGTTTCCAGTCATTGCCAGGGAAAATATGGTAAAGGCCACTCGTGCCATAAAAATAATTGACGTTTTCAACAGCCATTTCATCCACTAACACAAACAAATCTGGTTTTAGAATAGATAAACCAGAGGTTGAAATTCTGGTCCCTGACCACATCTCTATTAAAACCTTTTGGATTATCATTGATATCCAGATCTTTGTAAAGGAAATCAAACAATTTTAAGGAAAACCAAAAGTTCTTTCTAGAAGAATTCAGTCCAAAATCTATTCAAAAATACTTTATTACAGTTTTTTCTGATTGCTTAAGCACATTTTTTGTAACTATTGGCTATTTTTGCAAAACTCTACACACAAATAAGAAAACCTTTCACCCAATTATCAAAACATTGCAGTTCTCTTGCAAAAGCGAACACAGCTATATTAACTCTTCACACCTTTGTAAAAATGGTGTTTTCGTATCAAACAGTAAACACAAACCATCATCTACTAAGCACACAATGTGCCAACTACACACTGATGGTATGAATACAAAACACATCTGGCTTTCCCTTTCTCTGTGTACAGATGTCAATTTGAGGTCATACTTTTGTCATAGTGTCATGTAAACATACAAGGATCCAAATTTCAAGTATTGCTGTTTATTCACACTCATCAAAACCAAGACAAAGTCAGAACACAAAATAGTAATTTTACAAAAAACAAAAAAACTGTCAGCCTACATCATGTCGTCTTTCTGGGTCCGGCCACAAAATTTCGTCCACATCGCATGCGACATCCTCCAGTCCAAGGCACCGGGGAAAATATCTCCTTGAATTCCATATCCAGGCCCGACATGATGCCTGGTCAATATCTCCACATGCCTCCTCCATTGTCTGTAAAAGGGCTACCTGTTGATGAGGATAACATTGTCCCATATGATGACATATCGGGTACTGTATGCTCTGGTCTCTGAACAGTGAGCATGTCATGTAAGGTGTCCAGAAATGCAATAACGTGTGCAGTGTTATATGGGCCTATGGTTGTATGATGGTGAACAACACCATTTTGGCTTATAGCTAACTCTGTAAATTTGTTTCATTCTTATTCTGTGGCGTGCAAGTACACGACTTCATGAAGAAATGCTTATTGCCTATTTTGAAAGATGGTGTCATTATCAATTATTATTATTTATAGTGCTTAGGCTGATTGCAAAGTGAACTAATTATCTAAAACAGTTTTCACATGTGAAAGTGTGCAAGTTGGCAAAATAGTGTTAATGATAGCCATACATGTGTATAATTTTGCTAGGAGTGTGTTGGAAATTTGGTAATAGAGTGTTGTGCAGTGAATTGTGCCTACAGTTTTGCAAAATGTGTGTTACAAAATTGCAAACTGAGTGCAATGCAGTGTTTGTGCTTTTAGTTTCGCAAACTCAGTGAGTGGTTTTGTTATACGTATCAATAGTTTTAAAAATTTTGCTACAAGAATCACGATTAGCGCTTAAGCATTCAGAAAAAACTGTAATCCCAATGGAAAATTAAAAATTGGATTTAAATGGCTCGATGTGAGACCAAGATTATGTAGGAAGCTTGTTGATGGCTCTAGAAAACATGTTCCTAAGGAGTAAACTGCTGAAGGGCTTTAAACTAAGATTGTTTTATATATATTTAAGCCTGTTTTAATTCATCCTGTTCAAATGAAAGTAACTTCTCATTAAATTCAAAGTTTTCCACCAATATTTTCTTTTTGGATATCACTAGGGTTTTAGCCAAAAATTTCAAGCTTCAGTTAACCTAAATCATATGAGCTTAATTGATAGAGTAAAATGTCTTTTGATCCAAAAGTCCTTGTGTGACTCCCAGCTTCATTTCACTTTTCATAGCAATGAAATCAGCTAACTACAGACATTAAAGGAAGAGTGACTTAAAATAAAACTGACTTAAGAAGCTGAGATAATGAAAAGCCTGAGACAAACTTTGAGCTTTGAAGTCAAAAGAGTAATCAATTCATCTTCCCACTATTCTGCTGTGTGTAAAAGCTTCAAATTGAATCAGACTGACAGCTGATGGTGTTACTTCAGGTTGCTGTAAATTCCTCTGGTTTCCCCACATGAGGGAAAACATCAGGCACCTTTGAGTTCATTCACAGAAGCATCGCCTCTTCCCTCTCTCTGTCTCTCCCTCAGGTGTTCATGTGTTTGGTCTCCTGGCAACAGCCCTAGTAACAGATGTCATCCAGTTAGCTACTGGTTACCACGCCCCTTTCTTCCTCACTGTGTGTCAGCCCAATTACACAGCTCCGGGAGTGTCATGTGACAACAACGCCTACATCACGCAGGACATCTGCATGGGGAAAGACCAATATGCAATCATGTCTGCAAGGTAAAATAAGAGTGGTAGAAATTCATATGTGGATATGGTGATATAGTCCAAAATAATATTTATATATTCATAATTATGTAAACATGCATTATCTTTACACAGCTAGCAATGAGTTATCGTGGTCATTTACATTTCTTTGAATCATATGACTTTAAAAGCTAAAGCAAATATTTGTAATGATACTTTGCATATAAATGTATTAGAGGTATGTTTGACAGCTTAGAATAATGGTGTTTAGAGGTACAGCTCACATGTAGGGGATCAGACAAACAAGCCTCAGCGCGTTGGTATGAACAGCACATTAAATCCGTACACAGGAATGATCACAGCTTAGCAGCACTGATACGGGGATAATCCTAGTAACTGTATTACAATGTGCATGTGAGCGGTTCTATTCTTCAGGGGAGGCATTATTTAAAAGTCTTAAAGATGTGTTTTTTACATCATTATTAGCTTGTATAAGCAGGGAACATGGGACAAGACAAATAATATTGAGAATAAATTGGGACAAGTTCAAATCCGAGCTTTAGCAGGACAGATACATAGGCTGCAGTGTCAGGTATTGTACTTGTAAAATATTTCATTTTGATAGCTTTTTTATTTTTAAAAATTCCAGAACTAAAAATAAAGCCTCTTTTTAGGCATTTCTCTTTGAGCAATGCTTAAAGTTGTTGGTCATTCTTTCCAGCAAGACCATGAGTTATCAAATCTTGCATAAAGCGTGTTTGATCTACTCTGTTCATTATTTTTCTGTGAAAAAGAACAAAACAGTACTTCTTTTTTTTTTTTTTTTTAAGCATTAGTGGCACTAGTGGCTTGTTTTTTGGACAGGTTCGGACTGGTTCGTTAAATCTTTTCGCTCTGAGTTACCTTCCTCTATTTGCCTAAATAGGTTTCAGCACGATGCTCCTAAGAAAATGTGAGAATAGTGTTAGCTGTGCATTGTTTATTTCGCATGACAATAAAAGGTTTACCTTTGATCCATTTTTTATTTTATTCATTTATTGTTTTTAACGATAGTCTTGTTGGCTGCTAATGTGATTAATGGTCTCCTTGGTCTATAAGTGTGGGTAGATGTCCATACTGTGTTAGGTTTGTTGGACAGTGAAAAATGGTCCATAGGTTGTCCAAATCTTGGGGTAATATTTGTAGCCCAGGGGTCACCAACGCGGTGCCTGCGGGCACCAAGGGGCCCTCAAGGACCACATGGGGGGCCCTCTTCGTCTTCTGAAAACAGAAGAACTCACTCAGTGGGTTAAGTTTAATTTTTTTTTTATTCTGTTGCTCTTCTTTTTAATAATTTATGTATTATTTCATCATGTTAACTATTTTCTCATATTTCAGTAGTTTAAAAATGACAATATTAAAAAGAAAATTAGAAATGAATAAAAGAATGAAATAAGAATAAAAATTAGTTTTTATGGAAGAGATTTACTGTAGGTGAACACTGATCCCTCCAGTTCATAGGTCAGTATTGGTAGCCCTTCCTATGACTCGGTAGCCATGAAGTAGCCCTCAGCCTTAAAAAGGTTGGTGACCCCTGTTGTAGCCTAACCCTGCCAAAATCTTCTAAAATTTTACCCAGGCATGATCTGGTGTTAATCGTGAAGTTTGCTCTGTAGCAGTGGCTAACAAACCTCTGAGGCCTTCACAAAAGATCAATTTTAAACTGCGATTACATTTTACACAGGTGGACTTTTCTTAAAGGAATAGTACACCCAAAACATGATTAGCCTTCATTTTCTACTCACCTCCATGCTGAACAACACTCTGGAGTACTTTTTTGATATGTCAAATGCATCTGGAGATCTGGGAGGCTTCTTGCTGTCTGCTGACATTCAAATAATGGAGGTCTATGGTGCCCGAGGCAGAAAGGTCCATAAAAGTCCACAAAAAACGTGTCAATATTCCTCCATACTGCTCGTCCAATGTATTCCAAGTGTCCTGAGTGGGTAGCATCCAGAATTTACTCGAAACAAAGTCATTTAGAATGTTTTTAGAGCATAAAAAGGAGTTTATAGGATTTCCTAAAAGCGTGTTCACGAGTCTACGGAAACCGCGGCAGACCAAACCAGATGAAAGTGCGCATTCAGCTCAGCAAAGAACTCATGCTCTTCCTCAACATTGAAGTCCTCAGACATTTTTCTTTCGTTGTTTCTTTCTTTGCACAGGTAAACAGCACATTTCTTCTTCTACGCTTGCATTATCGGCAGAACAGACGCTGAATGCGCACTTTCGTCTGGTTTGGTCTGCCACGGTTTCCGTAGCGTCGTGAACGCGCTTTTAGGAAATCCTATACACTACTGTTTATGCTCTAAAAACATTCTAAATGACTTCGTTTCGAGTAAATTCTGGATGCTACCCACTCAGGACACTTGGAATACATTGGACGAGCAGTATGGAGGAACATTGACACGTTTTTGTGGACTTCTATGGACCTTTCTGCCTCGGGCGCCATAGACCTCCATTATTTGAATGTCAGCAGACAGCAAGAAGCCTCCCAGATCTCCAGATGCATTTGAGATATCAAAAAAGTACTCCAGAGTGTTGTTCAGCATGGGGGTGAGTAGAAAATGAAGGCTAATCATGTTTTGGGTGTACTATTCCTTCAATGGGTTGGTGGCTTTTCAGAGCAGTTGGTTGCCTTAGATTCTATTTTACGGAGTCATATTGAAGAGGGTTAAATTGAAATGCACACTACATTTTATACTGTTGTTTGTAAAACAATGTTTTTAAAAAATTCCTTTTCCTTCCACTTTAAAATGATTCCCTGTTTGGTGTTAATCACATACATTTCTAGGGAAATACATTGAAGCTCATTGTTTAATTTCACACAATGTAAAAACTGTATTAAACATGAATTCTCCTTTTAATGTGTGTATTTCTTTCCTTCTATTATTCCTGCTCTCTTGCTATAGGAAAACCTTTCCATCCCAGCATGCGACGCTCTCTGGCTTCGCCGCTGTATATATCTCTGTAAGCACGTCTTTTGATTCAGTTTACTGTAATGGTTTTTAAATGATGTGTCTGTAGATATTTTCCTTCTACCCCTGGGAAAAATAACAACATAAACATGTATTTTTGTAAAATCCATACTGATACATTACAATTCCCAGAGTCACTACATGAGTTAAGTCACACTTTTTTCTACTCTGCTCAGCCATTTCTAAACATAATATACACTATATTGCCAAAAGTATTTGCTCACCCATCCAAATTATTGGAATCAGGTGTTCCAATCACTTCCATGGCCACAGGTGTATAAATTCAAGCACCTAGGCATGCAGACTGTTTTTACAAACATTTGTGAAAGAATGGGTCGCTCTCAGGAGCTCAGTGAATTCCAGCGTGGAACTGTGATAGGATGCCACCTGTGCAACAAATCCAGTCGTGAAATTTCCTCGCTCCTAAATATTCCACAGTCAACTGTCAGCTGTATTATAAGAAAATGGAAGTGTTTGGGAACGACAGCAACTCAGCCACGAAGTGGTAGGCCACGTAAACTGACGGAGCGGGGTCAGCGGATGCTGACGCGCATAGTGCGAAGAGGTCGCCAACTTTCTGCAGAGTCAATCACTACAGACCTCCAAACTTCATGTGGCCTTCAGATTAGCTCAAGAACAGTGCGCAGAGAGCTTCATGGAATGGGTTTCCATGGTCGAGCAGCTGCATCCAAGCCATACATCACCAAGTGCAATGCAAAGCGTCGGATGCGGTGGTGTAAAGCACGCCGCCACTGGACTCTAGAGCAGTGGAGACGCGTTCTCTGGAGTGACGAATCGCGCTTCTCCATCTGGCAATCTGATGGACGGGTCTGGGTTTGGCGGTTGCCAGGAGAACGGTACTTGTCTGACTGCATTGTGCCAAGTGTAAAGTTTGGTGGAGGGGGGATTATGGTGTGGGGTTGTTTTTCAGGAGCTGGGCTTGGCCCCTTAGTTCCAGTGAAAGGAACTCTGAATGCTTCAGCATACCAAGACATTTTGGACAATTCCATGCTCCCAACTTTGTGGGAACAGTTTGGAGCTGGCCCCTTCCTCTTCCAACATGACTGTGCACCAGTGCACAAAGCAAGGTCCATAAAGACATGGATGACAGAGTCTGGTGTGGATGAACTTGACTGGCCTGCACAGAGTCCTGACCTCAACCCGATAGAACACCTTTGGGATGAATTAGAGCGGAGACTGAGAGCCAGGCCTTCTCGTCCAACATCAGTGTGCGACCTCACAAATGCGCTTCTGGAAGAATGGTCAAAAATTCCCATAAACACACTCCTAAACCTTGTGGACAGCCTTCCCAGAAGAGTTGAAGCTGTTCTAGCTGCAAAGGGTGGACCGACGTCATATTGAACCCTATGGATTAGGAACGGGATGTCACTTAAGCTCATATGTGAGTCAAGGCAGGTGAGCAAATACTTTTGGCAATATAGTGTATCTTCACAAGTGTGAGCTTTATTTTATTCTGTCAATGCTTCTGCTCATTTAGAACTAAGTAAAAAGAGTGGAAGTCTATTAAAATAACACAAAACATAATAAGAGATTAACTGATGAAAAATGTTATGCCAAATTACTGATCATGGATTTTGTAAAGCAGTGACTTGCCAAGAGCAATAAATGATTGCAGTGAACTTTTTCTTACTTGATGTATAAAGTAAAGATTAAATTGGCTTTAGAATATTTTATTGGAAATTAAAGTACTGGTTTTATATATAGTATCTCAGAGATAAATAGCTGCCTCTCTGTAAAAATCACTGCAGAGGCAAATGATGCTCAACTAAAAGTAATTACTGCAATTAAAGTCTTCTCTCTCTTTTTTATTTTCCATACACACCTCAATGTATTGGTGTGTGAAATATTTGATTAAGATTTTGAAATGTTTTCTGACAGATTACCTTTAAAATATATGATATATGACAAAAAAAAGCCAAAAATGTTTGCTGTTTGGTCTTTGATAGTTAAAAATGTCACAAACCGGCATTTTGTCATGAGCGTTCTCTGAGTATTTATATAAGCAACCAAGAGGACTTCATGTTGTGTGTGAGAGAAACCTCTTACATAGCCCCACATCTATGGCAAGCCATTTTAACATAAATTTGGCTATAACACCTTTACATTCAAGATATCTCAAATTGTTTTATGACTAGATGTTTTAGCGAATTAAGATATCTCTAATTATATTCTGACTAGTCAAAATGACGTCAGATTTACCATTAACTTTTATGGAGACGACAATTTAAGATATCTTGAAGGAATTACTGACTATCTGAAATACACATTTCAGATATCTACGATTAAATTACGACTAGTCATAAAGTAATTTCACGATATCTCGATTTTAGTTTTGACTAGTCATAATTCTAATTAATGATATCTCAAATGCCACCAATCATCAAGATATCTTAAATGTATTTTAGGATAGAAGATATGCAGTTTTGACTAGTGAAAACTAAATTATAGATATCTTAAAAGCAAATATGACTAGACAAAACAAATTTAAAGATATCTTGAATTGTAATTTAGACTATTCGAAATTCATTTTCAGATATCTCTAAATGAATTAAAGATATCTTGAATTATTCAGCTTTTCCATTAAAGATATCTTAAATTGATATTCTGACTAGTCAAACTGTGTAATGATCTTTTTAATGGGCTTCCAGGAGGATCATTCCTAAAAAATTCCTTACTGTCAGTTCAATCCAAAGGAAGAAAGGAATTTTGACTGGGCAAAATGTAATTTAGGATTTATTGAAGTATTATTTTTCCTAATCAGAATGTAAATTCAGATATCTTAAATTACCATTCTGGATAGTCAAAATGTGGTTTCGTCTAGTCAAAATGTATTTTAGGATATCTGGAACGTAATTATGGATGGTCAGACGAAAACCGAATTTATGTTAAAAAGGCTTGCCATACAGAGTCACACATTTCATTATTATTTCAAAACAGCAGAACGATGACAGCAGTCATATTTTAAACTGATAACAAACTCTTATCTGATAAAAGAAAATAGTGCATTTAGCACGGTTAGTGTTACTGGCTATTAACCTTAACTTCTGTCTGATGATTCTCATCATATCCAAATCCAGCATGTTCCCTGACAGATGCAATTGGATTCACCACAAAGAGAAACCAGAGCGTCTCTCAGTAATACATTTAACTTCCTCTTAGTTGAAGTTTTAAAAGAAGTGGCCTGAAGGATCTGCCAAGATGCCTCTGTAGAGAATCTCTTTCCTTTCTAAAAGTTACTCACAACTTTATGTCTGCTTTAGGTTTTGTTATAAGCTCCTCACTGATATGTTAATTATCAAATCAAATCCTTTCCAACCAACCAGATGCTAAAACTACCAGTCTTCATTTTTTGGTTCTTTAATGGTTGAATTCATTTATAGTGAATATTGGTTAACATATTTTTTACTCTCTCTTTACACTTATTGCTCTCTGCTGCAGAGTATATTATTGCTTTTGTTAAAAACCCCTAACAAATATACAGACATGTATAACATCTTCAACCAGTGGCTATATAACTGCTATAGCACGAAGTCATGTAGGTCCTCATTAAAATGTTCAAAAAAAGCCTCTGACTGTTATCTGGACAGTAATAGGGAGGTATACTGTATAATGTAGTTGTTTGAGCTGTCAGAACTACGGACTTTTATCTATTCTATGCAGCTATGGGTACTGTACTCTTCTACGATCATTAGTATGAATGTTTTCATTAAATCTCTTCTCCAAAATACTTTTGACCAAATTTTAAGATAATAAACTAATGAATGAGCATGATAAATATTTTGTGATGGCAACTTGGAACATAAATTAAGGAGTTTCTCAGTAAATCCTTATGTAATGTAACTTCTATTTCTCATTGCTGACAGGTTTTCCCTCTAGCTCTATGAAGGGAAGGATTTTTTTCCCTGCACAGTACCCCATGGGCAAGCTTGTTAAAAAGTTTTTTTCCTTTTTTTTTGCAAAACCCACCATTCTGTCACTCAGCTGTCTTCTATTTTATGCAATCAGAATATGGTGGGCATGCTGGGAATGTTAATACAGAGAAAATGTATTCTTGGCCTTTTTTTTCTTCTTAGTTTCCTGCTCACTCATCAACTCTGTTGCTGTCAAAAATGTCCAACCGGTCAACTGTCATTGAGCTATTCCATTTCCTCCTAGCTAAAGCCTACCAGACCACAACAAATAGACCTTTAAAAAAAAACATTACTATTCAAATTCCATTAATGTTTTCATTTTTTTCTCCCCATTAAATCAACTATTTTAATGTGACACACCAACCATACTCACTCCCCTGAGACAACACTTTGCAGAACTATTTATTGCTTTGATTAAAACTATAATTTTTGGAAGTAGGTCTCTGCCAGCTACCTAGATTATAAGCTAAAAGTTTTGCACATTTTTTTTCACTAGGACTGAATGGAGAGCATCAATTTTTGAGTCTTGCATTTCTATCTGAGGCTTGGTTAGAACATTGATGAATGAATTTACTCTGCGCTTAACATTTCCTGTGCATCTCTGGCTGTTTATGATTGGGGTCCATTGAGCAGCTGAAACTGATTTGATCTTAGGTTGGCCCTGTATTTTGCTCCATCCATCTTACCATCAGTTCTTACCAAACTGACTGTCCATGCTGAAACAGTGCAACCCCGCAGCATGGTGTTGTGTGTAGGATGATGTTTCGGTTGAAGATTCTGTATGACACCCCAGCACTTTCTTCCATTTGTTTTACTTTCCTCCCATGTCTTTGTTTTTCTCTTAAGCAATAAATTTCTAACAACCTTTTAACATAAAAGCAACACTTAGAGACACTAAGTTTTAGTCAAATTATATTTAACAAGATTAAGACACTAAATTTCTTCCTCCAGCTGTTGGAAAACTCTGAAGTGGATTTGGTGCCGCACAAAGGATAATTGAAGAGAGAGCTGAGTCAAAAAGCAAAACTCTCGATTTACCGGTCGATCTACGTTCCTACCCTCATCTATGGTCATGAACTCTGGGTCATGACCGAAAGAACGAGATCGCAGATACAAGTTACCGAAATGGGTTTCCTCCGTAGGGTGGCTGGGCTCTCCATTAGAGATAGGGTGAGAAGCTAGGTCATCCGGGAGGGACTCGGAGTAGAGCCCCTGCTCCTCCACGTCGAGAGGAGCCAGTTGAGGTTAGGGTGCCACCTGGACGCCTCCCTGGTGAGGTGTTCCAGGCACGTCCCACAGGGGGGAGGCCCCGGGAAAGACCCAGGACACGCTGGAGAGACTATGTTTCTTGGCTGACCTGGGAACGCCTCGGGGTTCATCCTGAGGGGCTAGAAGAAGTGGCTGGGGAGAGGGAAGTCTGGGCCTCCCTTCTTAAGCTGCTGTCCCTGCGACCCGACCCCGGATAAGCGGAGGAAGATGGATGGATGGATGGATGGATGGATGGATGGATGGATGGATGGATGGATGGATGGATGGATGGATGGATGGATGGATGGATGGATGGATGGATGGATGGATGGATGGATGGATGGATGGATGGATGGATGGATGGATGGATGGATGGACAAAGGATAATAGAGAGTTGCAGCTAGCATGGATCGGATGGACAAAGGATAATAGAGAGTTGCAGCTAGCATGCAGATCCATGCATGATAGTAGAAGTAAGAACCTTTTCATGCAAAGGTAACAGCTAATTCTTGCAACCATGGACTCTGGACAAGGCCATGAAAAAACTGAAAACCTAGAGTTAAACATCTACAAGCCTGTGCTTAAAGCAAAAGGAATTGCAATTGTCATAATGTTTGAAAATAATCGTTGAGCCTTCTCTACGACTACCATAGGGCCTATTGGCTGCTTCATCAATTAATGCTTTGCTTGCCCAGCCAGCATTCTGTTTAGGTCTATGGTCAACCATAACGGTGCTTTAAATCACGCACAATCTGACCCCGTTCACCCTGATAACCATATTTAATTTATCGCAATCAACGTATAGTGGATTATGTAAAAGCATGGCTTAAAAAATTATGCACCCTTTTACCTTCACTCAACATTTATGTGCTACATTATACCGGTCTATCACATGACATCTTGAAAAAACACATTTTAGACAAACATGAAAAAATACTGATTTTGAATAATTTCACAAAGCATGATACTGTACTGGTTCCTCACTGCCTTTATTCTTTCTTCTTGTCTCTAAGCTATCTGTCTTTTACCAATCTGTGTCTTTTCTCACAGATGTACTTCAATGCCAGCATCAACAGTACGACTAAGCTGCTGAAGCCCCTGCTGGTGTTTGCTTTCTGCATGGCTGCAGGCCTTGCTGGCCTGACTCAGATAACGCAGCACCGAAGTCACCCGATAGACGTCTACGTGGGTTACCTCATAGGAGCCGGCATTGGAGTATATCTGGTTAGTTTATAGAAGAGCAGCATGAATGGTTAATGAAACGCAAAGAAGATGGTCGCTGCATTCTTTAAAATAATGTAGTCAAAGCAAATTAAAGCAGTATTCAATTATTTTGATTGTTTTAAATGTAATTACTCATATTACATTGCAGTACCTGTACTTTTCATTTAAGAATTAGTTTTATCTTCAAAGCTTATTTAACAGCCAGCAAGCAGCATGGTGGGAGTGACACAATTAGATGTTTTTTTTAATGATGCTGTCTGCCATGTTGTTGTATTGTTTTTCTTTTAACAATATCACAGCATGTAGCAAACTGCTCATTTTTGCAGCACTTTCATTTTTTTTCTCAGCATTTTTTTTACACACTAAATATAGCTTTTTTTCTATTAAGGAGGGGAAGCGAGAGAGAATAAATAATCCGATAAAGATTCCCTGAGAAATTTCACACTTCATTATAAGTCGACTTGTCGTTACCAATTTTCCACGCCTCTCCTCTCTTTCCACAGTCTTTCACTTTTGGAAAGAGCTTTTTAAAGATTGAAAGAAGAAGGAGAGTCACTCTGACCTTAGGCATAATAAGAATAAGGACAGGCAGCTATAGTATTCATGTATTCTCTCTCAACTAAATGAAAAACTCCAAAAAGATTAAAGAAATACGTTTTCACGCTCTTTATTTAACATGTGGCGTGCTCCTCTGATTGTTCTTTTTTCCTCCCTGTATCCATCTCTGTCTGTTAGGCTGTGTACGCTGTGGGAAATTTTAAGGCGTCAGAAGAAGATGCTCCCTCTTTGCAGCGGCTGACTTCAGTCCATCAGAAAGATGGACTTAGAGTGTTGAGCCAGCGGAGCCATGATTCACTGTACAGGAAGACTCCCAGGGTGTCTGAGAGCAGGGAGGAGCTGGGGGCTGGGTTGGGTTCCGGAGCCCGCAGTAAGGTGAGGAGGGAGAAGGCGTCCCTTGCCTCCCTGAAACGAGCGAGTGCTGATGTAGAGCTCCTGGCAACACGTGGACCCATGGGCAAGGAGACTATGGTAACCTTCAGCAACACCTTACCCAGAGTCGCAAATGGAAACAGCCCCATCTCACCTTCTGATGAGCCGATCATCACGCAGCGCCACATGACCTTCCACGTTCCGTCTGATTCCCAGAGGTCTCGGCAGCTGGTGTCAGAGTGGAAGCAAAGATCGCTGGAGCTCCGCAGTCAGAGCTCTAGGGATGAAGATGAAGGAGAGGATGAGAGGGACAGAGGAGGTGAAAGAGGAGCGGCCGCAGGTGAAGGAGAGAATAAAGGGATGCCTTCATCTCTTTATCCCACAGTGCAGGCCAGCAACAATCCTTCAACAGCAGCTACAGCGAGGATGGCTGTGGCACCCCCACTGGTTCACATCCCAGAGGAGGCCTTGCGACCTCCGCCTGTTTCCCCTAAGAGTGCCAAAACACGAGCCAAATGGTTGTCGCTTACTGAGGTAGGAGGAGTGAAAGAGCCTGGATCAGGACCCATTGCTGTTTCAACTCCACGGGTACCGAACACACAGCCCAGCCAGCCTCCCAGCCAACAAAGGGTCACTCAGGTGAGGAGGCTTTAGAAAATACATACCCTATTATTTTCAATTACCAGCATCGATTTGGGAAACTGCAGATAAAAGTTTTCCTTAAACTGTTTATATGTTATATAGGTATATAGAAAACACACAACCCTTCCTCCTAGATCGGGGGGAACATGTTCTAGCCGACATCAAAGTTTGATATACAGCCACAGGTACAATGGGATAGTTAAGATGAAAGGATATTTGTTTTACAATGGCCCAGTCAAAGTCCAAACTTATTTCTGATTTAGCTTTTGAAGCTTGGCTGAAGTTACAAATACACATTTATTAATTTAATCAGCAACATACTTTTTTATTTTACCAATATGTGTCTGTTTATCTACCGTATAAAAACTGAAGAATGTCGTGATGCTTTTAGAAGAAACTTTATTGTTTTAACTTAATGGAGGGGGGGTTAAAAACTGTCAAATGTTCTACAAACTATAATTTATTTAGCCAGCAATCAAAGCCAAACACTAGAGGAAATAATCATCCTTTCCTTGATGATTCTCTCATTTAGACAATGAGAGAATCATCAATCACAATTCAAATGTGATTATAGTGGAAACAAAAAAAAACTTTGTTTGAACATGTTGCAATTATCTTTTATAGTTACTTAACTCCTGCTCTTCCCTGCAGGTCATAGCCATGTCGAAGCAGCAGGGTCACGGAGGAACCTCTTCATCAACTAAGACATCAGAAGGAGGCTCCTCCTCAGGTGGTGGCTCCAACTGCTCTGAGTCCCCTTATTACCGCATTCCGTCTGATCGAGACAGCTGCACTGGAAGCAACCCGGGGAGCGTCGCGGGTAGCGGGAGCATCGTCACCATTGACGCTCACGCCCCCCACCACCCGGTGGTGCGTGTGTCAGCCAGCAACGGCAAGCCGTGGGAGTGGAGGAACACCATCAGTGGTAACATGATAACTGCCGAGCCGTCTGGCGACAAGCATCGCATCTCGCTGCAGCGGCAGGACAATGTTTGCCACTACCGGGATTACCGGACGCTGCCAGTGAAAACAGACTCGCTTGGCTCTTCCACCACGAGCGGGAGCGCAGATGTGGGGGCAGAGTTGCCTCCACCTCCCCTTCCTACTGCCTCCTCCCCTCTGCCTCCTCCACCTCAGCTGTCATCCTCCCCTCTTCCACCACCACCCCCTCCTCAGTCATCCCCTTCACAGTTACCTCCACACTCAAGCTCTACCCCCATGCCTCCACCACCTCTTCCTCATTCTAGTTCCCCTCATTTGCCCCCATCCCCTCACCCATCCTCTTGCCAAATGCCCCCACCTCCTCACCCCTCCTCCTTGCAAATGCCCCCACCTCCTCACCCCTTATCGAACCAGATGCCTCCACCTCCTCACCCATCTTCATCTCCATTGCCTCCTCCCCCTCCCCCCTTCCTCCTCTATGTCTATGCCCTCTCACCCGTCCCACTCCAGCATGCTGCCCCCTCCCCCCCACCCCGACCTGCTGATGGACGGCCACGGCCAAGCCTTATCCCGCTCCTCAACCCTTCCTCGCAGGCCCTCTGTGTCTTCTCGTAGCCATGCTGAACAGGAGCACTACTACAAGGCCCTGCAAAATGAGAGGATGTTGTAGTTAAAGAGGGACAGGAAAGACAACAGACATAGGAATATTAGACTCAAAATGCCATAACTGAAAGAGACAGAAAAAAAAACAGGCTGCAACAGTTCAGTAGAGATTTCCGACTTCTGAAAAATGACAAAAAGGTTTAAAGCCACGGAGGGCGCTAAAGACATTTGGGAGGTCTTTCAGTCTGTTTTTTTTTTCTTTCTTGTATATCCTTCCATGGTACCAGCTGAGACTGAGACAAGAAGAGAGAATGAAGGAAAGCAAGACTGAGGACAGGAAAAAAGAAAACAACTTTTTGCCTCTGGTTTTTTAGAGTTTCTTTGAGGATGTGTTCAAAGGAGAAGCTGAAGAGACGGCAGCCTGAAAAGAGTTATCACAATGAATGGTGTGGGATTTGCTAAATCAAGTTCCCCCAGAGAGGAGACTGAGAAAACAACTGCAGGCAGTGCTTGCTCATCTTAAACCAGAGCAGCCATTTGAGGTTTGCTGTCATCTGTTTTACCTAACTGAAACTCTACTGATTCATCACACCATACAGCAGTAAATAAGTTCAACTCAGCAAATTCAGTCACGGGTTTAAGAGCATTAACCACAGCTTACAAAGGCGTTAACATCTCTAGCTGTCTAATTTAGGAAAACCAAATGTGGGCATTGTGTTTTTGATGCCAAGCCGGTTCATTGTTATCCACCAGAGATGGTCGACTTAGAGAGGAGAAGCGAATCAGTTTGACCATGCTCTGCTGGGCAACCCCTTCATGGATGTCTTGAATGGATTATTTGCTGTAAACATTAGAAGCACTGGAATGGAAAGAGAATAGCTTCTAAAATCAACAGTGCAGCCGGACCATGCAGCACAAAGCGTAAAACCTGCCATGGGTTGAAGAGCGAAGCTGCCGCTCGGAATGGAGATGAGCCTTTGTTTTTAAATCCAGACTAGCCACCCAGGTGAAGCAAGCCCTCCTGTCCCGCATGTGGGATAGGTGGAGGGTTTCATCACCTTAGCTTCACAGATCAACACTGATCAATTTCTCAGAAGAACGTCTGAGCGTCGTCTTTGTAAAATGTATTTTATATTCTTCACAATAAATCCTCTAACAACAAGGATTTATTCAGGGGAGCTTTTCAGGAATCTGTTCATTCACAGCTTTATTCAATCTAGACTATCTCTCACCAGTTTTCATTTACATTTTAAGGGTAATGAGACATTGTCACCCTTGTTTGCCCTTTTATCGTTGTACTATTGCTTTTTTCTTTTAAAGAAATGCATATTTTGTTCAAATGATTTGCATGAACAGGTAGGAAAGATCCTGAGAGGTTTCAGCTACACTGTTGAACACTATTTTACATTGCTGGATTAGTCCCTCTTGTGTAATAATTAAACTTAAAACATTGATACAAATTTTAAACCACAATTTAGACATTCTTATTTTTTTTATCACTCTGTTTAAGCCCAGTAAAAAGGTGTATCCTACTTTGCCTGCAAACTCTTTTTTCTGAGTAAAATCTCTGAGCTATACTGTGAAAGTTCCATTGCCATTGTGATTTCCACCATTTCTCTGCAACAGCATCCAACTTATTAAAATAACAGCCAGCAAAGTCTTACCAGATACAACAGTCCAAACAAACGAGCAAAAGTTTTTAAAATGTAAGAAATACCCTGGCCTGGTGCTCATTCAGAGTAACTTTCATATTTCTATTTTCTTTTTTAAGGAAGCTATACAAATGTAAATATGCCTTTAAAATCAGACGTAATATTGAACCACAGTGAGGCCTCAAACATCTTGCTTTCACTAATATTACTTGACAATTTAATTATTTATCGGTAAAACAGTGTTAATCAATTTGAACCAATATTTACTGAACATAATCAAAATACTTTTCAAACTTCTCAAACCTGTTCCAAAATCATCATGTTGTTAGGCTATTCTAAAGACATCTGCATTCAAAGTTAAAGCTAATGTTTAGTTTGCTCATTAATTTATTTGTTTGCGATTTATTATAGAAAATTCATTTACGAAATATTTCTCTATTTATTGCTACAAATGGAGCAATTTTGACAAAAAGTATTTTTAAAATGATCAAAAAAGAATTTTTGTTTAAATCAATTTAGTTTATTTATACAACACCAATTCACAACACATGTCATCTCAAGCTACTCTACATTTCACCAGATCATCCAGTCAATTGATTCAAAGTTTTCTGTCCAAGGAAAACCAATTTGATTGCATCGACTCATTGACTCGAATGCAATAGCTCACATTAAGCATACTTGTAGTGACAGTGGAGAGGAAAAACTCCCTTTTAGCAGGGATAAACCTCCAGCAGAACCAGAAAAGCGTTATATTGTTCCAGATAACCCTTTTTTTTAACCGTTTTTGCAACTAGGTTCTATAATTTGCTCAGTTTCAAAGTACAAACTTAATGAGGGTGACACTTACCTGGAAAAGCTAAATAATCTAATGTCATTGTTGTCAATGGACTATTATTTTATTGAAAATCAAAATACTGAAATATTGCATAATTTATTCAGTCAGATCCATCATAAACATAAGCCCCATTTACACTACCCTTTTGAATATGTGCCGAGATCGGTCCGAGCAACTGTTGAGTGTAAAGGGTACGCAGAACTGAGTCGGACTGTGCCAGACACAACCGAACCGCTCTAACATGATACTAGTTCATCAGTAGGTCTCAGTTCAGTTGTGGTGCGGTTCTCAGATAACAAAGAGCGCATGAGAAGACCGTGTCATCTCCTTACAGTCAGCCTCTGTAATCATGAAACTTCAGACATTCATAAGAATAGTAGCTTTCCTACTGTGTCACACGATTTCCAGTGATGATTCTGCTTAGCAGTGTGATTAGCCTCAACATCTGTTGTTGTTTCCTGCATCTGTAAGCCCAACAAACAACGAAATATCAAAATGATAACAAAACATAACTTCCTGAATGTTACGGCGCCGTTATGTGGATTTGCGTGTTTACCTCGAGAGAGTGGTAGTACCGTAGATCACCACTAGGAGGCGAGGAACTGTGCTACCATGGTGTGTAAAGGAACCAAGCTCGGCACGGTTAACTGATTAAAGCTTTGTCCGGTTTTCAGAGGGTAGTGTAAATGGGGCTATACAGCCTAAAACAATGCAGTGCCCTCCACATTATTCCCTTCCTTGGTACAAGCTTGCTTGCAACACAAATGCAGTAGCAAAATCTTTAATAAAAAAAAAAAACTTGCATTAAAATGTATTTCTTCAGAACAAATAAAAAAAGCTATTTTACATAAAATCATTGATGCTAAAACACCAATGCTGTTAAGACTCAGTAAATCCTTTTGTACAACAGGGTAGAAACCAAAACATTTCACTAGGTTTGTGAATACAGTGATCTTGCGATCTTTCACTATTCCTATTTACACTTATCTATTTAGATCGCGTAAAGATTGTTTTTTTTTTTGTTTATTTGCGCCTTTTTAACTTCTTTTTCAAGTTTCCCACAGCCTGTGGGACAGATACAGTCCAAAAGCAGGACAGATCCTCCACAATGCTTGTTTTCTTTTACATTTTCATCCTCTGTTTCACACTATTTCCTCTTTTTTTTTTTTTGTGGCTATAAAGTTAAACTTGGGTCTGATCTACTGAAAATTAGCTTGTATGAAAGCATATGCAAACCTGATCTTCGAAATTAAAGGGGGAGATTTCCTCAGTTTAAACAGTGAAACTGCAGGCATTACCCATTTAGCTTGCCTTCAAGCACAAATGCTGATCATTAGAACATCCTAAATACTGGATGGAGGAAATGCAAATGTTTTCACTTACCACCTGTAATGCAATTTTTAAAGCTTGTAACAGATTGTTGGTGGAATTTCTGTGTTTATATTAAGCATTTTACAAAGGCAGGTGCAAATAGGCACAACAGCCGACCAGTTGCATTGAAAAACAACAGAGGGGTCTTCCAAGCATGTGTTAAAATATTTGGACTGTCAGAAAATAAAATAGTAGAGGCATATCATATATCCAACAGTGCCATTTTTTAGCTACAGCATCAATAACATGACATTGAGGCAGCCAAAAATACAACCTATGCGATATCTCCTAAAGAAAGACTTGTTACAAAACTGCATTTTCCTTCATCTGGATAAATCAATGCAGTAAAAGAGACTGCCAATGTATTGTTGTGGTTTGCTATAAAATGGCACCGCATTTACATAAGATGAAGGGACCGTTGGTGTGTTGCATTGCCCTGTACTTGTAAGTGCATAAATTTTATCATCAAAACAAGTACAAAAAGTAGCGGTTTCAGACACCCGGGGTATGTTGGAGGTTGATGTACGACCGTTTCTGAGACATTGCTGTTTTTAATTGAAGCAATGACCTTTATTTGACAAGACTGTTGGAAATATTGAGATGCCAGAATCTTCTCTGCTGTGTTTGTTCCACCAACACAGCTTATAGGTGATATATCCTAATGATTTACATGAATAGAGAAGGTCCTTTCTCTTTACCTCTACTTCTAACTTCTCTTGCCATCTGTTTGCAGTGCTGTTGCAGATTGTAGCTGCCTTTGGGAAGAGTAAAATACATTTTCTCCTTTTCTCGAAAACTGGTGACACCCAGTAGCACAGGTAAAATCCTCATTTAGATAGGGCAATCCACACAAATTTTGGTCCTGTTATCAATTGTGCACTGTCTAATTAGATCACATAACATGGCAACATATGCAGCGTTTTATTTAAGCAAGCGGCTTAGCGCTCCTTATTTCAGGTTATAGTTGATCAGGCACGTACTGTCATCTGAGTTAGGTTCTTGTTAAAACCTTAACCTTTTACAGTCTCTTCATATTTATGCTTTTAATGGTGGAATACAAACTTAAAAAAACCAGGAGAACAGCCCCTAAACCATTTTAATGATGTGTTGAAAGAAGCAAAAGATTGCTGTGGAGAATTGATCACCTCAAGACTTTAACTTGTGTTTATAACTTCCTCAATGTAAAAGATGCACTTATCCAATGTACTTTTTTTTTTTTGCAGTTCTGATTGTATATGTTTTTATTGATATTCTGATGTCAGATACATTGTTAGCAGTTATAGGGAAGTGGCTGTGCTCTTGATTTTGCATAGAATG